GGGTGGGGTTTCCCTTCAGGAGTTTCTGCAATGGAGAGTGGAGGTGGCCGTGGACTTCCTGGGGCCCACCCCTTCCTCTGCCCCCTTTTCCCTTAGACTCAAGGATCTCAGAGCCCCTACCAGTCCTCTCCACTTACTCTGTGGCCCTCTCCCTGGCCGGAGAGCTGGAGGTCATTTCCCACGGGGCTAAGGCCACAGTCTTAATTTTCGGCAAAGGAAACGGGGCCCGAAGTCTGGGGAGGGCTGGAGGAGCCTGGTGGGGAGAATAGAAATGGGGGCCAGCAGGCGGCTTAGTGGTTATGGCACTGGACTCCCACATGGCCAACCGCAGTTGGAGTCTGGCTTGAAAGTCACGCCAGGAGCGCGTGTGTGGGTTCCCAAAACCTCAGGAGGAGAATAGAGAGAAGGGATTGCAGAGTGGCCCCCTCCCCCACCCCACCACGGGGAGGGGCGATGTCTCACTTTCCCTCTCACTGTCTCTCTCTGTCTCTCTCCTCTTCGCGGAGTGCAGGCACTCTATGGCAAAATCTTTTCTTTTTTTTTTTTGAGAGGTTTTTGCTATAGGGCGCTTATGCTTGCCAGACAGCCAGAGAGAGACAGAAAGCGAGAAATCACCAACCCCCCCCCCCAGGGGATGGCTAATCCCTTCTCCTCCATTCTCCCCTCGGGATCTCTGGCATGCATGCACACGCGCCTGGCATGAGTTTTAAGCCACTGGGTTCGGGACGCGAACCACGGTCGACTACATGGGAGTCCAGCGACATGGCCATTACGTTAACTATTGGTCCCTATGGCAAAAATCTTTTACAAAAAAGAAAGAAAGCCTTGTCCCAGGGCCAGCTGTAGTGGCTGCTGGTCACAGAAAGCTCTGCGGTGCTGAAGCCACATGGGAAGCTCACTACCCAGGCCCAGACCTGGAGCGGGGAGCACAGTGCGGGGAGAGCCCTACAACAGGGTCTGGCCCCCAGTTGGCATTTCCCATTGGTCCCTATGGCAAAAATCTTTTACAAAAAAGAAAGAAAGCCTTGTCCCAGGGCCAGCTGTAGTGGCTGCTGGTCACAGAAAGCTCTGCGGTGCTGAAGCCACATGGGAAGCTCACTACCCAGGCCCAGACCTGGAGCGGGGAGCACAGTGCGGGGAGAGCCCTACAACAGGGTCTGGCCCCCAGTTGGCATTTCCCCACCCACCTCTGGCTTGAGTAGGAAGTTTAATTTGTCCATCCGCCCATCCATCTAGCCAAGTGTCTGTCCATTCAGTCATCCCGCAGACATTTCCTGAGCATCTACTGTGTGTCAGGCACTATTCTAGGCTCTGAGGAGATAGCCGTGAACAAGGCAGAAAAATAATCTCCATTTCATGGAGCTGACGGGTCTGCTGAGCAAGGAGGCTGGGCTGGGCTGGGTAGAGAGGGTGCTGGAGGGAGCAGGGTCCCTTGCAGGAAGGCCTCCTGAAGACGGGAATGTCTGGGCAGAAGCCCGAGGACAGAAGGATCAGCACCGGGCTCTTCATGGGTGGTAGGCTTGCAGGAAAGGAGTTGGGTGACAGGATGGAGGTCAGACAAGTGGGGAGAGGGGCTGGCAGGTGGCGTGGTGGCTAAGATGCTGGACTCTCACATGGCCAACCACAGTTCAAGTCCTGGAGTTGTAGGCTGGCTTTCTCACTTTCCTTCTCTCTCTCTCTCATTCTGTCCCTCTCTGGTCAAATTAAAATATATCAATAAAAAGTTAAATTAAAAATTAAATAAGTAGATAAAAATGAAATAAACAGAGAGGTGGGGAGGGTCAGATCCCCAGGCCTTGTGAGAGTGGAGAGAACTCTGGGTTGAACTCTAGGATCCCTGGGTGCTGGTGGGGCCTTCCCAGGTCACAGACTCCCCATCCCCCAGGCTTCTAAGAGTGTAGGGTGGGGCCGTGGCAGTCGCTGGACTACCACACGGCCAGCTGCGTTGGAGTCTTGGACTTGGGGGCTTGAAATCACACCAGAGACATGTGCATGTGTGCCCAGGATCCCAGGAGGAGAATGGAGACGGGATTAGGGTATGGCCATCCCCCCAGGGGGATGATTTCTCACTTTTTATCTCTCTGTCTGTGTCTCTCTCTGGCGAGCCCACACATCTTAGGGCCAAAACCTCTTTTAAAAAGTGGGAGATGGGAACCAGCAGTTAGC